AAATAGATGAGACTAATTTATTGAGAAGATCTATTGCCAGGTTCGAGGTTGAGAATAATAAAATTAAGGCTGAGAATGATAAAATTAGGGCTGAGAATCTTGAGCTTAAGGCCAGAATTGCGAAATTAGAAGATAAGCGCTTTTTTCTCATAAATTCGAAAAAATGTTAGTCAGGCACTTCGCAAAGCATATCCTATCGCGAGATCTATCACCTGAAAATCTATGATTTGAGGGGTGAACGAATTAATAAAAAATTTGCTATCGGTATCACAAAAATTACTTGACCCGTGACTAGTTAATGATCTTCTGGTGACCATCCTTCGGAGCCTAGCCAATCCCCTACCAGATGTGACGCAATTCGTGATATAGGCGCGTAAATACTGATCTGATATAATAAAGTGGTCTATTTTTTGAAATTTCATGGAATTCCATTTTTTTTTTTGCGCCATGTATAAATATATAATGACATTTAACCAAGCATATTCTGAATTGCTAGCCAAGTTACCAGCTTCCATAATAAATGAGGCATGGATTCGTCTCACATCACGGAAGCGTAACCCATTTGTTTGCTAAAGCAAATGGCCAGTGAAATTAATCCAATTGTAGAGTCATTTTTAAAACATGAAGCTATTAGATATCAGAAAAGATTAATGCGCCAGAGACGAACTCAAAGTTGGCCAGAGTGCCCAACATCATGAAACATCACAACAATGGGCTGATCGTATAAGATTATGATGTGAATTTGAGGTGGGAAAAAAGCTTGTATCTATAAAATCGGATTCTACTCATCAGCTGGAGCACTTTTTCTGCCTCACCTCTCATGATCGACATAAATAAATCTGTACTACGGAAGGTCATAGAAATTCCGCATGCGTGATATAATCACAGAAAATTTCTCCAGTAAAAAATTTGTACTTTTCGTTCTCACCGTCTCACAATAACTTTTATTTTTGTCACGTTGTGTTACTCATGACCAAAAAACGGCAACAAAAACGGAAAACTGTCGAAGCTGAAAGTGAGAGTACTCCACAAGAGACTTCGCAAAAAGCTTCAAAAAGACAAACTACTGCACCTACACGACGTTCGGAACGTATTCTCAAACAAGACTCAGATCTTACAAGAGTCACCAAGTCCTTAAAGATAAGTTCTGGCTCCTCGTCTGATTCCCGTTCCAGCTATGAATTAAAGGATCTTCCCCCCTCCTCATCTAAATACTCAGAAGAAGATATGGAGGCACTAAATGTGACTTTCGTACCGGCTTCCAACGAGAATGAAGTCATACCTAATATTCAAGGTAGGAAATACGCTATGTTAATAAACTATTTAATAGACCATACTTATAATTTTTAATATTAACGTCTAGCGACGAACATCCCCCAAGAATATTTTCTTCCCAACATTTCTAGTGACATGCTTCGGAGACCAAACTTCAATATTGACAATGTTAACGCTCCTGGGAACGCTAAGGCGTTCCTTTACAATCTGCATAGAGTTGCTGTGAATGCGGACGTTAATATAGGCACAGAGGAATCTAAGACCGACACACTAATAAACAATATTCTAACTCGAGTTATTGATTTCCAAGATTGGCCCTTAACAATTAGGTTAGCAATAATAGAAAATGCTTTTGCTTGTTATATATTCAATGATTTCTTATGTTCGCAATCGTATTTAACCTAGAGTCAAAGAATCCTTTAAGTTATCCATTAGTGATAAGATGGTGACGGCGATACCTGAATATGTGGTGGATAAAAAAGGGGTTTCTATGATAATTGTAGAGGTTTGTATATTTTTGGTTGTTTGCGTCATATTTTTTGATGACTCAAAAATCTTATTTTAACAGGACAAGCATTTAAGGAATATTTCGGCACCTGAATTTGGTGAAGCACAAATGATGGTTGAAATACTCGCTTGCGGATCTGAAAACATACGCCTTGAAGTTACGGATCAAATTATATTTGTCGTTCGTGTTGTCTCATCCTATGTTACATTTTATAAAAGTGAGATTAGTGCAAGGTATTGGAATGAGCTTAAGAAGGGTTTACCACGAAAGCAAGGAATTGAAGTTTTAAGATGGCCGATGGAGAAGAATCCGGCTAATGGTCTAGATCTTTTAGAGCCAGCTGGAAGGCGAGCAGTATTAACGGCGTTGGTCAGAATTCGCCAGTTTATTTTACAATCCTCTAACACCACTACAGTATCCCAAGACCAGGCAGGGTCGAGCACCACTACAGCATCCCAAGACCAGGCAGGGTCGAGCACCACTACAGCATCCCAATAACAGGTAGAGCCGAGTAGCAAGAGCGAAGGCAAAAAACCTGCAAAATAAAAAAAGAAGCTAATGAAACAATATTTAGCAAACATCATCATAAAGCATTGAAATTCATGAGAAGAAATTACTTACTTTCATTATTAAATATTTAGAAAAAATACAAGCAAATTAATTTGTCTATAATATAATTGATATTTTTTTTTCTTAACTAAAAATTGCATGTAATAATTTTTGATTAATAAATTGCACAAATACAGTATAATTAAAGTTTTATGTTTATTCAATGAGACCCAATTCTCGAAGACGCTCAGGAATAACTACATATGGGTCTTCGTAATACCAAACATACCTTAAGGCAATCCGATTTTCTTCGCATAATTCTTTCTTGAGTTGATCTCGTTCCTGCTGTTTGATAAAATTATTGGGATCACCTCTATGAAAGAATTTATTAAATTTTTCGTGTTGCTCCCCTTGGACTTCAATGGCAAAACCATAATCATAATACGGAATATCAAGCTCTAATCCTTGATAATATTTAGGTGTTTTTAAGAAATCAGGTCGGCGTATTTTAGATGGTGGTCCAAGATATTTTGATACTATTTCTCGACATAGTTTTTCTCTTTTATATTTCGAGCAGAATGGACACCACGAGTTTGAATGTTTAACACTGCTAAATGATGCAGTCCATAAATGTCCTTCGGCACATTTCCATAATAAAGCTGAACGACTATTAGTAAAATATTTAGAAAGACATATTCCATTTCTACTACATGCCAATTGCTTTGCATTTTCGATAGTAAGAGGTCTATTACCTGCGCAATGTGGGCACCATTTCTTACCATTTTTTATATTATTAAAAGATGCATTCCACTCATGTCCTTCAGAACAACGCCATTGCATTAGAGTATTAGAATTAATGTATTCAGTGGAAATACATAGCCCATTTCTATTACATGCCCTTGCTTGGCATCTTCAAGTGTACAAGGCTTATTATTTGCGTAATGTGGACATCATCTCTTAACATTTTTTATACTATGTAAAGTTGTAGTCCAAACATGACCTTTCGTACACTGCCATTGTATTGGAGTATTGACATTAATGTATTCAGTAGAGATAAATAGCCCATTTTTGCTACGAGCTAGTTGCTTTGCATTTTTGATAGTAAGAGGACTATTAACTGCACAATGTGGGCACCATCTCTTAACATTTTTTATATTATTAAGAGTTGCAGTCCATTCATGATTGTTTGCACATTTCCATTGCATTGGAATACTAGTATTAATATATTTAGTAGAAACACATATTCCACTACGCTCTTTGGCAATTTCAAAAGCATTATCCAATGTCAACCTTTTCATTGATTCTTTAATGAAAATATCAAAACTTTAATTACCAGATAGTAAGGTTCAAACTGATAGTATCCCTTATAATCATGAGGAAGAAAATAACCACTGGGTTATGAATGAACTTCAAGTCTTATCTCAGCATCTGCTTGACTATAATAGAAAAACTTTTGGGAAAATGATACAAGACATAAATAATGATTGTTAGTGCAAATAAGATATTATGCTACAAGATTGAGGATCTGATGATGCAGGTACAGAAGGCAGAAAAGGAGTTAGCATCTATAAAGTCAGATTCTGCTCAGTCTATTAATTAGAATTATAAAAGCTGTATTAGAGTTCAAAATGGGAATCAAATATATATTAAAAGACATAAATGCAGTAGCCATAGAAAGAGGGGTATATGCCTCCTAGAAGAATTTATTAATTTTCAGTCGATCATGAAATGGAGATGTGCAAAATATCATGAATGGCAAACAAGATTTTCTTGTATTAAAATCGGTAAAAGATGGTGTTCACATTGTGCAGGTAATGCATCTTATACTATTAGAGAAGCTAGGCAAATAGTTCATAGCAAAAACTGGCAGTGTCTATTTGAAAAATATGTCAATTCTAGTTCTCCACTTTTATGGAAATATACTAAAAGTCATGAATAGTTCAAATCACTATATTATGTAAAAAATCACGATGCATGTTATCCTGAATGTTGCAAAATATCACAAAAGTTAGGACCAGCTAAGGATTTCGCACTTAGTAAAGAAGGGATATATTTATCAGAAAAATATATTAATAACAAATTTTCTCTAAAATAGATATACGCTAAGGGTCATGAATAGCAAGCATCATTCAGTAATGTAAAAAATAATAACAGTTGGCGTCCTTACTATGCAAGACATGGATTGAAACATGATATAGAATTTGCAAAAAGTTTAGCAGATAAAAAGAATAGGAAATGTCTTTCAAAAATTTATACTGATACTAATCAACCATTATTGTGAAGCTGTGCGAAGTATCATAAATGGAATGCTAGTTTACATAGCATACAACATGGTAGTTGGTGTTCACATTGTAGTAAATATCAATATGAAAATCTATATCATGAAATTGTAGCAAAATATCTTGGACCACCATCTAAGATACGTCGACCTGATTTTCTTAAAACTTTAGAATACCCTAAAGGATTAGAACTTGATATTCTATACTATAATCATGGCTTTGCAATTGAAGTGCAAGGAGAACAACATGAAAAATATATAGAATTCTTTCATAAAGGTGATTCTAATAACTTTATAAAACAGCAAGATCGGGATTAACTTAAGAAAAACTTATGCAAAGAAAATAGCATATATCTCTTTTACATATGATATAATGATAAAGATCCTGAGAAGACTATTTAACAAGAACTATATATATTAGGACTTATTGACTAATTATTTTCAGGTTCTAATAATATCATTTCATAATTTAATATTATTTTTTTTCAAAATTTGGTCTTAACTGACTCGTATCCTGTATATATGCTCACGAGGTACAGTTAGATCGAAAATAATGAATTTTTTCTCACATAATACCTTATCAATAATCTTAATCATACTACGCCAGTCATTGGCATATTGATACAATGTTAACAAATGATCAAGTCATATAAATTTATATGATAAATAACCAAAATGATTGGTCATTTTAAAATGAGCATGATCATTTTGTAGCAGTTGTATGAAGTTTACAGTTGGCAAAATGACTAGTCATATTAATATTTTAAATAAATGACAATAAAAATGATTATAAAAAATGACTACATATGATAAATTTTAAGATTAGATTTACACTTAAATGATTATCTCCGACCTGTTGAAAAAGTGATATATTTTAAAACATGCAATGATCTGCTTTTTTTTCACTTTCGCATAATGTTCTTCTAAACGTATAAAGCAAAAATACTGTACTTCTCTTGTTTCTCTTTACTTTTTGTGTATTTTGCATGACAAATTACATTTTTGATGGGTCGAAAGCCTCATGTGTATACAAAGTATTTTAAAATATTACCAAAGCTTGCAAATGTAAGCAATAAAGTATGCATTTGTTTAGTTTGCTATAATACAAATCCTGACAGACCTCATAAAGAGTTAACGAATACTCCAAAACTTTGTAAAAATCATCTTAAAAAATGCCCATACTTTTTAAGTCAATATTCAAAGGAAGAATTAACGGTTATATTTTCAGATGCTAATGACGACAATGATGACCATTCAGAAATAGAAATTTCTGAACCAACTACAAAACGTGCCCGTATAGAAAAAAGTAAGTACTAATATTTTTTATATATAAGATTGTTTTATTTTATAAACTCTTCTTTTAATTGTTTATTTTTTTATTTAACAGAATCACAAATAAAAGTAACACAATTTGTATATTATCCCCTTTCTGAAACTACTCAACAATAATTTGAAAGGCATTTGGTATGTGGTACTATGGCAACTGGTTCTTCTTTTAGATGAATTGAGGATGAGGATATTGTAGCGGCATTTAAACTTACTAATCCAGCTATTAAGTTACCATTATGACGAAAATTAGTGGTTCAATTCTTAAAAGAAAAAGTACTTAAACAAAAGAACAAATTGAAAATATTGCAAAAGAAAATAAAATTGGTGTTATATAAGCTTTTGATGGTTAGAAAAATATCGTTAAACAAAAGCTAATAGGAACAATACTTATTACTTTACAAGAAAAAGCTTTAGTATAGAAGACTGAAGATATAAGTGCTGAAAGGACTCGTACAATTGAAATTAATACATTTATAAAACGATATATTGAAGATCTTTTAGTTAAGCAAATAATTCCTCTTTATGTGGTTTCTGATTCTGCTAGAGAAAATGTAAAATCAAGATATACGCTATATAATAGTAATATATTTAGTAATGTATTTAAATATATCAGATTTGAAATAATAAGTTTAAAATAAAATCAGAATTATATAAACTTTATTATTATATCGTTTATTTAATTTTATAATTAATTTTTTTAAATTTGTTTATTTAATTTTTTTTAGAAAAGAATTATGAATACAATATACCAATATTGTATTTATTCCATGTTTTGCTCATCAAGCAAATCTTTGTGTTAGTGATATATTCAAGGCTTCTTCTCAATATAAAGAAATTTCAAATATGACAATTAAAATAGTTGGATACTTTAATGAATCAACGTATTTTCTAGGTCAATTATGTGATTATCAAAAAAGTTTATATCAAGAAAAACTTATTGCATTAAGATCACCATGTGATACAAGATGAAACAGCTATTATAATTGTTTTTATAATATTTTAAAATCAAAAGACGCGTTAACAGTATGTATATTTTTTTTATTTATAATATAAAACTTTAACTAAATTAAATAATAATATTTATTATAATTTTTTTAGATACTTGTGATTACTTTAGAAAATTGATTAGATCCTAATAATAAAAGATTTCACTTGCAGTTTCTAATATAATTAATAATTCAACATTTTGGCTTGATTTAAAAGAATTAGATTAACTTCTTTTACCATTTTGCGCTGCACTAAATAAATTACAAAAGGAATCTGCTCGATTATATAATATTATGCATGCATATGCATGGATGTTAAGTACAATATAAAAGAAGTCTAATTCTTCATTTCGATCTCATATGTTAATATGACTTGAAAAATGATGGAATCAATGGAAACAACCCTTACTTATTTTATCATGGCTTTTACATCCATCTTATGGTCTTGAAAAACTTAATATTTGATTACCTGATTTATCTGTACCAAATCTTATAAAATGGCTTATTTATTATTATACTAATTGGTTTGGTACAAAACTAACAAATATTTTATTGAATTTAGAAGATTATCTTTCAAAAAATTCTTTCTATAAGTCAATTACGAGAAGAAATTTTAAGACAATGAAAAAATAATGCTATTAAGCAAAATATCAATATTATTGTATCAACTCAAAGTGATTCTAAAGAAGAAATTGATAATGATAATATATCTAATTCAGAAACAGATCCTATTGAGTTAGTAAATCATTGGAATATAATTGTTGGAGATTGGCTTAATCTTTTAGATAATAAAGAATTTAAAAGTGAAGAAGAAATTGGAATTATTAACCATCCAGCAACTAATCAAGAAGTAAAGTGATTTCTTTTACAGATTTTTTCAGAAGGATTAGAATTTCCAACATTTTATGATTTATCAATAAATGAATCATAATATTCATAATATCATTGATAAATAAATATAATATGATTATTATATTAAAAAATATAAATAGTAAATAATATTTTAGTTTTAAATTCTATATTA